TGAAACCACCAGCAGCTCCGAGGGAGAAAGCCTAGGCTTTCTACTCCTGTGAACAGTTACAGTCTCAACTCATTTGAAAAGCAATTGAACCATGGGGGGGAAATGCATACAAGAAAGAGGATGTTCTAAAATTTATTGTGGTCATGATTGTAGAACTCTTCTTGATCTGACTGGACTACTGAATTGCATGATATGTGGATGAAGTGTTGCATTCTGCTGTACATAAGACCCCAGCAATTGATGAAGAAATAAAACCTGTAGCATACAATGCTACAGAAAAATGAAAAAACAAAAATGGTTACAGTCTCAGAAACCCACAGGGGGTCGCTATGCATCAGCGTTGACTCGATGGCAGAAGTTTGTTTGTTTGTTTAAATCCCTAGCAGGGAGTCCTTGTGGAATCGTTTGGGTAGGAGCCATAAGATCTGAGGTTCGAAACCACGAGCCACTCCATGGGAGATGGGGTTTTCTACTCTTGCATCGGTATCAACTTGATGGCTGTGAGTCTGGTTTGGGATTATTCCCTGACAGCATGGACATCTTTTCATGTGCCCATTGGCCATTTGTGTCTCTTTTTTGAAGAAATGTCTGTTCAGATCTTTGGCCCATTTTAAAATTGGGTTCCTGCTCATTTCTTATGCATTGGCGCCTCCTGGTCTGTTCTCCAGTCTTGAGGCTTCCCAAACTTGCCCTCTTGTTTAGCTCATCGGAGGCTGCCTCTCCTAATTGGCATTCTGCAGCCACGTTTGAAAGGAAGACCTTTGGTTTCCCCTGTTCATTTCACCGTCAGGACAAAGCTAAGAAGTAGAAGTGAAATCGTACTTTTGATGTGACAGAGGAGGTGACTGAGAGGCTGAGGGACTAGCCAGAGTCACAGAGCCAGTAAGTTGAGGGATTTGCACTGAGGACCGTCAGACGCCAAAGCTTCTACCAGCTCTTTCTGCTCACCACTGTTTCAGGGTACAAAAGAGGCCTCAAATCTCAGATATAATTTAAGGAGAACATTCATTAAATCCAGATGAGGGAGATCAGAAACACGGAGTCATGATGGCATCCATGGCTTTTGCCGAGAGGCAGAAATTTAAAAGGACATGGGAGGGCAAAGGGAACTGTCACAAAAGCATGGTGGGTGGCAGATTGCTTTATCGGTTACAGTTGGGACTAAAGGGGGGGGGGACCCTATTGGGACATGTACATTATATTAGAGGAGCCAGCAAGATGGATCCCGAGCCTTCTGACCAACGTGTGAGGGCAAGACTCATGATGACTCAGGTGGTATCCATCCAGGACCTGCCCAGGCAAGCTTTAAGGGAGACTGCTTCTCCCTGGGATGGAGCTAACCCACTTTCCAATACACTCTGCTTAAGGGCAAGACTGTTGACGTCTCTGGTCAATGGTCAGAAGGAATTCAACAGAGGCTCAATGCACATGGGGCCTCTGCAAATGGGTTTTGGGCTTTCATTGTTGCCTACAGCATTCGGCAAACCTGGTGCTCAGGATTTAAGCTCAAATACGCACTATCTTAGGAGTAGTACTGGCGGGGTAGTAATGCATTAGGCTGCTAACTGCAAGGTCAGCGTTCCAAACCACTGGCCACTTCATAGGAGAAACAGGGCTTTCAACTCCCATCAAGAGTTACTGTCTTGGAAAGCCACAGGTGCAGTTTTATTGTGTCCTATATCTGATATGTGTATTATACACTGCTACCAGTATCTTATCTCATTACTGCTATTCCAAGTGTTTGTCCTTATCTACTGTGGTGTTTGACTGAGAGCCAGCCCATCCACAACGGTTCCAAACATTGCCTAGCCATTGCTGTATTCCAGCCCATTGTTTCGGCCACTGTGTCGATCCAGCCTGTTGAAGGTCTTCCTTTAGTTGAACCTTCATTTTTACCAAGCATGATGTCCTTCTCCAGTGTTCGGTCCCTCCTGATAACATATCAGGAGGACATTCTAGTGTGCTTGTCCCAGGACAGATTGTGTCTGTCCTTCCGTCAACCTTTTGATTAATAGCCAGGTATTTAACCATTGATGCCACTCAGGGACCCCATCTGGTAGTGCATTCAATAGTCACCACCAATATCCTAACTCCAACGCCAGCTTATCCTACACAAATTATACAAATTCAATCGGATTAAGAAAAGATGTACAATCATCACCCCAACCGATCTTAGAACATTTTCTTCTTTCTTGTACTCATTGCTATTAGCGCCCCAATTCCCCCC